AGATTGCCTCGGAAACAGCGTCAGCATGAATCTTCCAGTAAAGCCAATCGACAGCTGGTCAAGAGGACTCTGCCGTCGTCTTCTGGTGGAGCCGACCTTCGAATCTCTTACCCAACACTTTCACTCGAAATGGAAGTAAGCTCAACAATTATGAGACAAGAGATTCCTCGAAACCCAATTTTTCTTTGCAGATAAAACGATAGCCAAGGTAAAATTCTAATCTGTGCTTCAGAACCTAAATAATTTGTACCATAATCTCTTCGATAATGAGAAGCTAGTGGCTAATTTGGCCTTCAATTGGGTCAGGTCATTTTCATCTCTCAGGAAATCATCCTAAGCGTAAGAATTGGTGTTGTTTAAAGGCTCGTTAAAGGGGAATTTAGGCAGTTTAACCATCGAATTTTGTATTCTTAGATGGTATTGGTAGATACAAAGAAGTGATGATTATTCCTACCCAAAATTGTTGACGCCTCGATCGGCACTAAACGCAGAAGTCATCTAGTTCACACGAAGAAAAGTTGAGTTCCGAGGAATCCCTCAATAATTTAGTGTGACTCTACTTTCTCCTGGTTCAGTATGTTGATTAGATTTGTTGTAAAGTATACTTTATCGCACTGACAATCTCTCTTACGGCGGGACAGACGAAAGCCCATTTTGGGTTCATCTGTGTCCCTGGATGGTGAGCCGAGGTCTTCTTTGCTCAATCCAGCATTTCCCACTCCGCAACAAATCCCACTCATCCTCGTTTGATTTCTGCTGCGGCAAAATCACAAAGTCCCTCCAACCAACAGCATTGCTTCGAGGTGAAAAGTCGACTCAAAACAAACTTATTTTAACCTTGAAGATATGAACTAAAGTTGGGATTTTCAAACCAGCCTAACAAACTAGGTCTAGCGCTCAAATGTACACAGAGCCCCTCGTGTCTGCTTGTTTAGTTTAGTCCGTCCAACAAGACCGGCACCCTTAATCGCACAAAAAGTGGAATTACCAACAAAGCAGCTGGGCCATCTTCTTTTGGCGATATTCACTCAACAACCCCTTCCACCAACCCTTTCAAGCTCAACTGGGAGAAGCGATACTGCCGGGCCCATTTTATGGTAAATAAGGTGGATGGGAGATGGATGGATAGACTCGTGAATTGGTTGATAAACAGTAGATCTTAGGCAAGCCCAACTGAACGTTAAGTGGCGTATTGAAGAGCTATTTTACTTTTCGCCCCACAAGCCCTCAGACCGTTGAGCTGGTCAGGACTAAGCTCCAGATTTCCCCAATTCCGTCCGGTTTCCAGTTTCCTCCCTCCCTTCGATACGTTCACGTCCCCCGAGCAACTTTCTTTCTCTTTGCCCGCCTGTACTTCCCTCGTCCAAGCCAGCACCGATGGCCTCTGCTCCACTTAAATCACCCCCATTTCCGACGGGCCCCTTTTTCTCCACTTCACCTCAGACAGCCTCAGCCCCAGGACCGATCGGATCGCCAATCTGGCCACGTGGAAATATGATAGCCAAGCCGTCGTCCGATTGGCTCAAGTTGGATCCCAAATGCCAGTCCAGACTTGAACCGACTTGCTTTTCCGTCCAGTCCGGCCAGCCGGTCGTCTCGAGTAGCAGCTGTCGAAAAGGGCCCATTGCTCGATGTAATCCAGCCTTAGGCCCGGCCCGGACCGGCCATGGAATCACACCCTTTTATTGTGTCATACCCAGTCGTACCGGTCGCCAGAGTCTCTAATGCGCGTAGTATCAAAGTCAAAGAGAGGGCCCGATAAATCAGTTGTGTTGCGC